CTAAACCCTAAATCTTACATCCTAATTAGACCCTAAACCATGCAGCAGAAACGATGCAGCAGACACCTTAAATCGTGTCTCCTATTCTTTCCCAGCAAATGCCATCCATGCTCGCCCCCAGCGCCGACATTGCTTTCGCATTGTGTTGAGGTTCTGGATCTCCAGGCGGAAGCCAACAAGTGGGATGCCGAGTGCAAGGCTAAACTCGTTGCATTGGTTCATGGGTGGCTAGAGGTAGGGTTATACGTCCGCTGAAGAGGGTTATGGTTGCCATACTTATTACCCTACTTCTGCCCCCCCCCCCCCCCCCCCCCAAATCCTTAGGAGCTACCCATGAGCCAAGCAAGGGTTCTCTTGTCCATTCGCTCATGAGCTGTGCTCAGCGCCATGCCTGAGCAGGCGCGCATTGAGCCTGAGCCCCAGCAGGCGGATGCATGAGCCAGGCTTTGCCTCGGTTGAGGGTTTAGGGTTTAGGGTTTAGGGTTTAGAGTTTAGGGTTAGCCTGGAGCATCATCTGTGTTCCCAGGTTCCGAAGAGGGCGCGCGAGAAAGATCGAAGATATGCTCATTGAGCCTTGGCACGGTAACGCTAGCCTGTGCCTTGCGTGATACCCATTAAGACCCATGTTTCAGGAGGCCATCTGCCTGACTCACTCAGGAGAAGCGCCAGATCGAGGTGCTCGGAGAAAGCCAGAACTTGAAAGTTGGATGTAGCTGGTGGTCTTGGAGCGGTGGTGCTGCCAGGGGCTGGAAATGTTCTGCAGTCTTTGTACTATGCCTCTGCTGGAATGCTGTTTAAAGTCTGGGCATGCTGTTTGCAAGCCAATACAAGACAGGCCCGACTATTCAGCACTGGCACCGGGACTGCCATGGACGATGGCCAATTCTTTGCCATCACTCGTGTGACTTGGAAGGGTTGGACCGAGATGCGACATCGCAGCAGTCTTGTCTGAACCTCTTGAGCATACCTGTCTGACTAGACCCTAAACCCTAGACCCTAGACCCTAAACCCTAAACCCTAGCACGTCACACTCCATTCTCTCCCCCGTGGCGAGGTGAACCTGGCGGACGAAGATGTGATGACCACGGCTGCCGCGCGGCCGTTGTAGGAAAAGCGCCCGGATGGCCGCAGTTCCTCGGATCCTTGGGTTTAGGGTTTAGGTTAGACAAAAAGGGTTCAGGGTTTAGGGCTTAGGGTTATCCCGCAAGAGCCGTATGTCGATGCAGTGATGACCCTTGCCATACCATGCTCCAAGCTCAACGCCAACCCTGAAACTGGGCGCCAAACCCTAAACCTTAAGCCCTAGACCCTAAGCCCTAATCCCTAAACCTTAAGCCCTAAACCCTCAGCCCTAAACCCTAAACCTTAAGCCCTAAACCCCCCTATGCCGAATAGGACAACGGCCGCGTTTCAATCGTGTAAGAGCCTTGCGAGTGGCTCATGGCCACGATTGCAGGGAGGTGCTGTGGAATCTGAGAGGCAGTCCTTAGAGGTTCATGGGTAGTTATAAGCAGGGTTTAGGGTTTAGGGTTTAGGGCTTCGAGTTTAGGGCTATGCGACTTGGTGGTTCATGGGTCGTTACAAGGTGGGTTAAATACGTATGGCAACTATGCTTCAAACTCTATTTCTGGTACTTCTATCCCTACTTACAACATGGGCCTCCAAGAAGTTAGCAGATAAACCCTAAACCCTAAACCCTAAACCCTAAAACCCTAAACCCTAAACCCTAAACCCTAAATCCTAAACCCTAAATCCTAAACCCTAAACCCTAACCCTAAACCCAGAGAACGAAGCTCCTTAGATTCCTTGGCTCTCGCCGAGTCAACACAGTGAAGCTCGTCACTGAGTTTCTTGCCGTTGGTTAGTAGGGAATGAGGGAATGAGGTACCCTATAGAATCCCTTAAAGGGTATATATATATATATATACTAATATATAAGGGGGATATAGGGTACTTCATTCCCTCATTCCCTACTACAGACCAGCAGTAAGGTTTGTATCCTAGCACGGACACATTGTCGCTCGGGGGCAAGGCCGGCTGGATTCAACTCAGCTGGTAAGCGGACAGGTTGCGTTTGGGACCCTAGACCCTAGCCCCTAAACCCTAAACCCTAAACCCTAAACCCTAAACCCTTAACCCTAAACCCTACACCCTACATAAACCCTAAACCCTAAACCCCAAAGAGCTGTCCGAAAGGTGGCCTAGCTTAAGATTCTGTGGGTAGTTTCCTAAATTGGGGTACCTTTTTTTGGGTACCCATTAGAAGGCGTCACCCTTTCAAAAAGGGATCCCAAAAAAGGGTTTAGGGTTTAGGGTTTAGGGCTACCAAAAATGTGAAGTTCGCCATGCCCCGAGCCCGTGAACGCCGCAGAAGCCTGGCGTCACGGGTTGCCACGGTCCAAGCACTCAAGATTTGTGAGGGAGACTCCGGTTTAGGGTTTAGGGTTTAGGGTTTGGGTTGAGGGTTTAGGGGGTTGAGAGCTTAGTTAAAGAAATATTCGACACACCCCTTGGGCATACTTATAAAGGAAAGTAAGGGGTCTGGTAAAACTTGTCCTTGTCTTCTCCTTTTAGAGGTTCAGGGGTATGGGTTTGGGGTATGTTTGAATCTATTCCTAGAGAGGAAGAGTCTGGTTGCCCTAACCCCTAGACCCTAAACCCTAAACCCTAAACCCTAAACCCTAAACCCTAAACCCTAAACCCTAAACCCTAAACCCTAAACCCTAAACCCTAAACCCTAAACCCTAAACCCTAAACCCTAAACCCCAAACCCCAAACCCTAAACCCTAAACCTTGCCTTCGGTTTCGGGCTCTGGGTGCCTGGGCTGCTGAGAGTTCCGCAATTTTCAAGCCATGGCTCCCGGCCTGGCGCGGTGTTGGGCCAGACTTCTCTGGCAGGGTTTGGGGTTTAGGGTTTAGGGTTTAGGGTTTAGGGCTTAGGGTTTGGGGTTTAGGGTTTATTTAGGGTGAGGGTTTAGGGTTTAGGACTTAGGGTTGAGGTTTTGGGGTCTAGGATTTAGGGTTCAGGATTCAGGGTTTAGGATTCAGGGTTTAGGATTTAGGGTTTAGGATTAGGGTTTAGGATTTAGGGCTTGGGGGGAGAGTGGTGGCGTGCAAGCTTGGGGGGGGGGGGCGCTTGAAAGAGACCTCGTTGCAACAGGGTTTGCGAAAGGAGTCCGCTACATCATGCTTGGAGGTTCATGGGTAGGAGGTTCATGGGTACGTATAACCACAGTTATAAGTCTGCTTATAACCTACTTAGGGGACTTAAGGGGGCTTATGAGTACAGGTATAACTAGGGTTATAAGTAATTGCCCTGAACCTCCAAGTGCCACGCGTGCCCTTGTTAGACATTTCGGGTGCGCTGGTGCATTTCCAGGTCGCCAATTTTCTGGGATCCTTATTATAACTTCAGGCTATTGTTCCTTAGTTGAGGGGTATTGAGGGGCCCTTTGGGTCAGCACCATGAGGCGTGAGTTCATGCCGAGAAGCAGCCCTCGCCGCTCTGTACAGGGTGTTGTGCGGCACCGATCGGTGTATTTGGCACGAGCACACCTTTGTGGGGGCACCCGTCCAAAGCCAAAGAAATCGACAGCGGAGGCTCTGAAGCTGGGGTCATGGGTTCCCCTACTACCCCCTCTATACTATACTGCCCCCTCTATACTACCCCCCCTAGGTTTCGAGAGACTTGTGATTCTGGAAGTTGCGCCGGGATCGGATGCCGTGCACGCCAGTGACCCAGAGAATC